AAGAGGCCAGCCATGTTCGCACACCAACAGAGCCGGTAGGTGCCACCTTCTGACAAGAAATCCGCAGGGCCGTCGCCCCATGTGTAGAGGTTTGCTTCACCACTGGCTGGCTTCGAAGTACCATCATTGGCTACACCGGCCACAGGCAATTTTGCTCCGTCACAGTCTTCCGACATGGTCAGTGCTAGCCGGTGACCGTCTCGAAGATGAAACCCACTTAGTGGAACGGAACAAGCCTTGCCTGAAGTGCAGCGAAACTGCTGGTCGCCCTGCGGACGAATGCACAAGTCTTCAGTCCAGGAGCCGGGATGCTCTGTAGTGGATCCGGACCGGCAGGCTTGACAAGTTGCATCCGAGGCAGCACCAATGGCACCACTCCATGTCCCAGCTGTGCATTTGCTACACGGCAGGTTGCCAATGCCACTCTTGTATTCACCTGCTGCACAAGAAGTGCAGACCTCATCCAACAGGAACGTTCCTGCGGCACACATGCAGTGAATGCGATCGCTGGCAACATCCACGAGCGTGGTTTGAGACGCTCCGCACTTCTCCCGGTGCAAGCCTCCCATGCAAAAAAAACCAAAGCCACAGGGCCCACATTGTGAGGGGCTGCTGGAAGTATTTATAAATCCCGGTGCGCATTTGCAAGCACCCGATGCCACGGCTCCGGCCTGCGATGTCGTGGAGCCATATGGACACATTCGGCACGTGGCTTCCTGCATATAATGTCCAGCCTCACACAGGCAATTCGAAAAATCACCTTGGCTGCATCAGAAAAGCCGGAGTCGCAGTCACACATACTCTTTCCGTGGCTACAACGTCGGGCGTCCTGAGGAGTGGGCTGGATCCGGCCACTGCAGTGCTCCCGGCTGGGCAGCTCTCAACACGGTGGCCATCGGGGCAGAACGAGTCTTCTGGGCAGATCATACACGAACCCCCAAACTCATGATGCCCTGGAGAACAGTGGACTTGCAATTGAAATGCCACCGCTTGGTAGTCCTCTGACGATGCACATGGACGACCTTGTGGGCACCAACACAACTGCAAAGTCTCTGGTACGCCATTCAGCTGCAGCTCCCCCAGCTCCACCGTGAAGGCATCGATGGTACGATCGACGCGGCGGACAGCACTCTCCTGGCGAAAAGTCACGGAGGCATTGAGGGATCCACACTGACTCATGGCGATCACACTGTCATTCACCGACAAGCCCACACCGCGCCAGGACGCAAAGACACAGGGCCGACCCATAAAGCAATGCAGAGATTGGTTGGCATAGGGACCTTCACTAATGAAGAAGCCAAAGGCTGAGGTGAAGTCACTGGGCTGATCACATCGCGAAACATTCCGGAAACAGGAGCACAACCTGTACCATCCAGGTTCCACATGGAGTCGCCGCGAACCAGTGTGGTCATCTGTGAATGTGAAGCTCTGGCCATCCGAACTCACGGCTGAAGCCAGTGACTCTGAATCCAAGCATGATCGCTTCACAGAAATCCACACATCAGGAAGCGGGGCATCCATCACAAAAACGCAGTCTTGGCCTACAGGGCACTTCGCTACTGCTCTTGATTGCTCAGTCGAAGGGAACCGCCAGAGGTCGTCGAGATACGCTGCACCGGAGCCTCCGAATGTCATAAGCGCATTGGAAGCCTCGTCCCATACAGCTCGTGGGTCTGAACGCGGGGAGGGGCCGACCGTCGTTGAAAGCACTGACCAGGCGTCTGCCAGCAAGTCAAACCTGGGTAAGCGATCCGCGAGAGGGAGAGGCTGGAGCTTCGTGGGGCAACGGCACATGAAGATGCGTCCAGGCAGCCGGTACAGTTTGCCATCGTAGCTCAAGTCGCCGCTGACGTTTTGAACTCCAGCAAATGCGAGCATGGACATGGCACCCGGCTGCCAGACTGCCACATGTCGAGCCCTCGCAAACGGGCTCCCTGCGGGCAAGAGCTCCCACCACCGGTCCGCCCATAAGTCATACACGTGAAGGTCCTGTAAGTACGCACTGCCACTCCAGCCGGCGAAGACGAGCATGGACCTTGTCACCTGACTCGGCGACAACAAGAAAGAAGGACCAAGGACACCTAGCCACTCTCCTAAGCAAGCATGGGCAAAGCGGAAGGAAGCACAGCCAGTCGCGTCACCCGATCCCAGACCGCAGAGTGCCAGCTCCTTGGCGCTGGGCCTGAAGCAGCGACGCTCCAGACCTCGGCCGAGGTCTGAGATTCACGACTCAGTTTCTGCGGCTGATTTAGTTAGGGCCCCGGGTGTATGTTGGTTCCGGCCTCGTGGCTCAAACTGCACTTGACGAGATCACCCAAAGCTGCGCCATTCTCGCCTCCGAACACCAACATCGCACCAGAATCGACGTCCCAAACGGACGAGTGGTGGGCACGTGCTGCTGGTGTCATCTCGAACAGAAGCTGCCGCCAGGTCCCCACGGTGCCCAGCTCTGCCTGGTATTGCCAAAGTTCATCAAAGTGTCTACCGAGGTGGACACCTCCGAAAAGGAGCATCGATCGACTTGCGCCGTCCCACTCGGCGGAGTGGCCTTGCCTGGCGGTCGTGTCTGTGGTTAGTTACCCTGCAGGCAAACCCTGCGCTCTCTGTTGCCACTACCTTGAGAAAGACCTTCCAGTGCTCCCTGTGCTGCCTCCTCTTTCGCATTTTTCGGGCACAACAATGGTGCAGCTATCAGGACGACTTACGGACAAGCAGCTCAAGGCACCATACACCGCGGACAGAGTCAACGTGGCAAGTTGTTGCGTTATGCTCCCTCTAGCGCAGTGGCCAGACCCTTGGGAGAGTTCATGTTTGAGAACTCTTGCGTCAGTGCAGGCCTCGTTGATGGACCACTGGCTGATAATAAGGTCCAGGCTCGGGAAGGCCAGTGATATTGCCAGAGGTCCTGAAAGTAATCGAAGCTTCGGCCAGCCTCCCCCCCAAAGATGAGAGCGGCTTGCTTCTCCACATCCCAGACCATACTATGCCCATGCCGGGCCCTTGGCCCTGCAGCAGTGTAGTCGACCCAATCATCCCAGCTGCACTGCACTCCTGCTCGGAGGCTTGCCACTGGAGCAGTTAATATGTTGCGCAAAAGACGCTTTACAGAATCAGGAATTTTACCCCTTAAGGGCATCACCCCTGATGCTGGCATCTGAATCACGGTGTGGCGATCTGGGCTCACGGTGCACGCGATTGGTGCGCACAACTCAAACCTTCGCGCCTGCGGCTTCGTGTGGCCCGCAGTCATGGATCTGCCATCCCCGGAACGAACAATCACCAAGGCTCACTTCTGTGCCATTGCAACTGATGTCATCGATGGCGAAGGCAGTATTGTTGAGCACGAAGAAGGAAGTCAAAGGTGTGCCCCCAGCTAGGCCCAAGTCCTGCCGCCACAACTTGGCTTTGAGCACGAGAGAGAGAGAGGGGGGGCAAGGAAGATTGTGAGGGTAGGTGCCACCGGGCAGAGCCTTAACGATTTTGGACCTGCAGAAGTTTGGGAATTGTCAACCGATGTCAAGCGCAACTCCCACCGGCTCCTAAAGAGCTAGCCGAGGTGAGGAATGAACGGCTGACGTCCGGGCTTCCTCTCCAAACGGAGTTCGGTCCCAAGCAAACGTGCGGGGTCCTTGCAAGCCACGATGGCCGCCGCCGCGTCAAAACCATCATCGCAAACCGGTGACCAAGTGCCCTCACGCAGCACTTCGAGGAAGCCCCAGGTCCTGGAGCCTCCCGACAAGCGAACGGACTCCAAGCCTTCGGCCCTTGGAGTCCGACTGAAAAGCCCGGGCACCACTGCTGATCCATCCTCTGCCGACTCCTCGCCCTCCGGCACCCCCAACTGGCCAAAGTCATTCTGACCGAAGCAGGAGATGGCGCCTCCGCTTTGCAAAAAGCAGCTGTGCCCATGGCCCATCGACACGCTTTCCACCTTTCTAACGAGCACCTCTCCGGGGCTTTCGTTGATAAAGGTTGCAGTGACTCGCCCAAGCTGCTGATCCCAATTGGCACCCCAGCACAGGGTTCTCTCATCCTGCAAGATTGCGCAGGAATGATACCAACCCACAAAGATCTGTGTCGTCGGAAAGCCGAGGTCGACATCAGCTGCCTCATGGGCCTCCCGACTCACGGTGTCACCAAGACCAAGCTGACCGAATCTATTGTCACCCCAACATCGCATGCGTCCATCTGCCAGACGGACGCAAACATGCTCGCCGCCTATTGCGATCTGCGTCGCCTCCAGCTCGAAGCCGATGGTCGGAAGCGAAGAAACGTTGCGGACAACTTCATAACTGGGGAGCTGCCGTCCCCAGCAGACCACCCCCTCAGAGGAAAGGGCGCATGAAGTGTCGGGACCCGCGGTGACCTGGGTTGCTCTGAAACTGCCCAGATCCAAAGCGGGCAGCGCATCTCCCATCTGCCAGCTCTGCTCTCCACGGTTCCTTGCAGTAGCCACAGGTAAAGAAAGCAAAAAGCAGGCTACATGAGCCACCGTCCTTCCTTCTCTAAGCTGAGGTCCCGGCATCCAGTCTCCTAAGCCCAGCTGCCCATAATAATTCCACCCGAAGCACTTGATGGCACCGTCATGAAGTAGAACGCAGGTGTGCGAGTCGCCACAGGCAACCTGGCTCGCCTTTGTGCCATTGCCCAGATCGACCGCAGGCAGCCAGTCCCCCATCTCGTTGGGCTCATCACCGAGGGCAGCCGCGTTTCCAGATTCTATCTGTCCATAAAGGTTCGACCCCCAACACTTCAGGGAGCCACCTTGAAGAACCGCACAGGTGTGACTCCATCCGGCACAGGCCTGTAAGACCGTACCTCCAACGTCCACCACCGGCAGTTGCAGACCAACCTCTTCCGGGTCATCGCCTATGTCGTCGGAACTGCCATAGCCCAACTGCCCCTCGCTGTTCCTCCCAAAGCATTTGAGCTGTCCGAAAGCCAGAGCGCACTGGTGAGAATGCCCAGCAACCAGGACCATGGCAGCCGGCATAACTTGGGGGTGGGCATGCGAATACAACATGATGTCGTCGACTGCGATGAGGGAGGATGTGTCAGCGGGCATATAGCCCCTGAAGCGCACACGATTAACTGTTGCTGGCAGGCGTAGCTTGACTTGCTGCCAACCCACCCCTCGCTGGCCGACCTCGGACCAGCTCTCCTGCCAAAGGCCATAGATCCACATCTCCACCCGCAGACTCATGGATGCCCACCCTACCATCCTGAAGGCAAAGGCCAAGTAGGCCACGTCGGCACTTGGGAAAAGCGGGCTTGTCAAGAGCACCTGCACAGGGACATGAGTGAGGTGCTCAGAAAGGAGGCACGGCCTACGTTTCTTGTGAAGTCACAAGGCACCTCTGTAGCTGTACCAGTCCAGTCCTGCCATACCTCAGCGAAAGCCTGGCCACGAAACGCATTGCCCCAGCGATATCGGCTCCAGTCCCCTGTCCATTTGCAAAACCCTTCCTCGAAGTCGCACCCGGCATCCTGGAGGCTGTGTGCAAATTGCGCCGCCACTTCTAACTGGAAGGAGCGGATCCTCACCAGATCTGTCGTGCTGTTCATGGTCGCCAGCAGTCGCAGTGACTGTGTTTGCACCGAGATCGGGCCCGTGAGCTGCTGCCAGGAACCAAAAATGGCGATAGCTGTGGTCTGGAGATGCGTCCAACCGTTCTCGGTGAGCTGCTGCACCTCCAGGGCTGCCGTGGGTCCCACCACTTGGAAGCTGAGAAAAAACACGACCTCGGAACCAACGTGGCGGATCTGAGCACTGTCAAGCACAGCTGTTTGGCTCTCGGCGCCCCTGGCTTCCAAACCGATGTCCACCACTCTCCACATGGCCCTGCTGGGACCAACAGTGCCAGGCTCCAACCAAAAGCTGTTGACCTGAAAGTCCTCACAAGCCAGCTCCTCCAGCTCGACAGCTGTGCGGAACGCCCGAACTGCCAAGTCTCCGGTTTTCCATGCTCCCAGGGACCCTTGAAAACGTAAGCCCGTGCTGTTGGAAGGGACATGTGCCGCACCTTGATGCCAAGAGGAACCGCGACTGCCAAAGAGTGACCAGACAGTAGTCCAGTTCTGACCATCCCAAGCCTGTAGCTGCAAGCTGCCGAAGTTGCTATCCAGGCTGTACATGAGGTAGTCAAAATATAGACCAGAGCCCTGGGAAAAAAAGGGGCTCTGCAAATGGAACTCCTGCAGGGAACCACAGAGGCACTCAGGCGCCCACATGGCAGCAAATTCGGGTCACAGAACTGTTGTCTGAGGAATCACGTTAGTTCAGCTGTTGTTAACTACACAGAGCTTATGGATCTAAAGCAGCAGAATACCTGTTACATGGTAAGCTACCAGAATGCAGAGTCGGTACTAGCGGACTTGAAGGTTGGCTCCCACGCACTGGTGTTGACACTGGTGTCTTACCGACCTGCGCTGCACGTGACGGTGCAGGGTTCCAACTAGCCGGCGTCAGAGAAACCATCAGAAAGCACAGGAAAACTCTGAACGTTTGCATAACTCAGGCCTTTGGATCGCCACGGTCGGTGACATACATCGCAGTCAAGTAGAACCCGTCAGAAAGCGTCTTGGTTCTGTGCACACATACATTGGGTGTCTCCTCCAGAAACTTGTACCCGCTCGACAAGCCGCTCGAGTACTTGCACCAGCTTAGCCATGTTCCAGACAGTGGGGGCGTAACATCGTCGCTGTAAGCGACGCCTTCATAGCTGCACGATCCATCTCCGTCCAGATCTTGGGAAGCAGTGAGCGACGGAAAGTTGTTGTCGAAAATCCACCTTGGCGAAGTTGAGTTACCATCACAGCTGGGATCGTGGTACAAATACAAATTGGCAGATGACAGCTTGTAGTAGGCCCGTCCACTGCGCGTCTGACCCTGCAAATCGTACATGCCATCCATGTCGGTGTTGCAGCTGTCAACATACATCTGCAGGACCACTTCGCTGACCTCGCAGGCAGGCATGAACATGGATCCCATGACAGACATCCGAGAATAGACGGAGCCCGAACCTGGTCAACGGTAGCCGTGGATGTCCAGTCGATGGGAACGATGGGTGGCGGCGCAGTAGGAGGCACGTCATCCCATTCACCCGGGTGCTTGCACTCGACGGTCTCCATCATCGAGCCCATGCAGACGACGTTATGTGTCTCTGAGTAGCCGTGCCTCACCACATTCATGTCGCCCTTGACACCCATTGCCATGATGATGTAGAGCGGAGTGTATGCGGTGAGAACCAAGTCAGTCCAGTCGCCGGTGTTCAGCTTGCGATAGAAATCAGCCTTCATGCGACCGCCCGACATGTCGTAGGAGACCTCGGTCAGATCCTGCTTTGAATCGATGACGATCGTGTAACCGTGAAGGTTGGTCTGGGAGATGCTCACAGGTGTGGCGCCGTTCATCACCGTGAGGTTCATGGCGCAAAACATCTGGCCGAGGCATTGAAACAAGTCGGCGCCACAACCACCACAGTCACCATAACCACCACACGCACCACAAGCGCCGCAAGCGCCACAAGCGCCACAAGCACCACAAGCACCGCAAGCAGTAGTGCCGCATGCTCCACAGGCTCCATTAGCAGCGGTGCCGCATGCTCCACAACCACCGCAATCAGTAGTGCCCCATGCTCCACAGGCTCCGCAAGCAGT